TGAAAATTTTGGTTTAGATACTTGAGAATACATAATAAAGTTTAATATTTATTTTTATTTTGAATAAAGCTTCAAATGCGAAATTTATTTGAGTTAAATTATTGTACAATACTATTTATAAAACATATTGTTGTGCAATTGGTAATATTTTGAAAACGTTTTACTTTGGCAAGATCCATTTTACTAGGGCAAATTGTTTGAATTATATTGAGATCACAACTAAGTCATAATAGTTGCACAATCGCATTTTTAATTTGCTGCTCTAAAGAAAAACTTTACATATACAATAAAATTTGCAAAATCTGCTGTGAATACAAAAATGAAAAAAATAAAAAAATAAAAAACAAAAATAAAGAAAAACCTAGTTTTGTTACTATGGGTTCTATTTGTTGATAGTTTATTCTAAGTCAAAGCAAAATTTGAACTGATTTTTATCTACCAATTATTTTTAGAAAAATTTTCAGATTCTGCATAGGCAGATTTCTGCTTTTTCTCTCAGGATATGTGAAGCTGTGCCAAAGGTAAAATTTTGTGCAGATTTGGCTATTTTAGGATCCTGACATCCTAGGTAACAAATTTTATTTTGCTGAATGTTTCGATTTTGAGAAGTAGCCAAACATTAGTTGAATTGCTACATGTATTATCTCACCTATTGATAAATTAAACTGTAGTAAGCAAATATAAAATGAGATAATGTAAAATTTATAAAAAAAAAAAAAAAAGAAATTCTTGTGCAGATTCGGCTATTTCAGGATCTGACACCCTAGGTAACAAATTTCAAAAATGTTTTATTTTGCTGAATATTTCAAATTTGAGAAGTATCCAAAATATTAGCCAAATTGCTACATGTATCGTCTTACTTAATGATGAATTGAACTGTAATACTGTAAGCAAATATAAAATTCATAAAAAAAAAAAAAAAAAAAAATAAAATTATTGCGCAGATTCAGCTATTTCAGGATCTGATGCTCTAGGTAACAAATTTCGGAAATATTTCATTTTGCGAATGTTTCGAATTTGAAAAGTAATTGAATTACTATATATACTGTATACCTGTTGATAAATTGAAACTGTAGTAAGCAAATATAAAATTCTGAAAAAAAAAAAAAAAAAAAAAGAAAATTATTGCACAGATTTGGCTATTTCAGCTCTAGGTAACAAATTTCAGAAATGTTTCATTTTGTAAATATTTCGAATTTGAAAAGTAGTCGAATTACTATATGTATACCTGTTGATAAATTGAAACTGTAGTAAGTAAATATAAAATTCATAAAAAAAAAAAAAGGAAATTATTGTGCAGATTTGGCTATTTCAGGATCTGACGCCCTAGATAACAAATTTCAGAAATGTTTCATTTTGCGAATGTTTCAAATTTGAAAAGTAGTCGAATTACTACGTGTATACCTGTTGATAAATTGAAACTGTAGTAAGCAAATATAAAATTCTTAAAAAAAAAAAAAAAAGAGAAAATTATATGCAGATTCGGCTATTTCAGGATCTGATGCCCTAGGTAACAAATTTCAGAAATGCAAATATTTCGAATTTGAAAAGTAGTCAAATTACTACGTGCATATCTGTTGATAAATTGAAACTGTAGTAAGCAAATATAAAATGAGATAATGTAAAATAAAAAAAAAAAATTTTATATATATCATTCTTCTATTGTATAAATTAAAAATGTAGTAGGCAATAAAAATTCGTAAAAATAAAAAAAAATATAAATAGTCTTGCCACTTGAGGTAGTTTCCACTGTAATATTCTCAATTTAATCCTTTGTAAAAAATAATTTAATTACAAAACTAATCAAATAAATTCAAAGTTTTCATAAAAATAATACATTTAAAACAATGTCTGATTTTGAATCTACTTACTTGGAGAAGTGTGATGCTTTGGAAGAAAACTATGAAGAGGTTTTTATAATTTATCCCATTGTTCTTGAAAATACACAAGCCTTACTACACGGTGACGAAAGTGAAGGTATTGACTTGAATGAAATTGAATTCGAAAATTCTAACCCCTATAAAGAACTCCTCTCAACAATAGATGATAAAATAGATATAGAAATTGAAGAGAGTTCTATTCAAAGTCTGAATTTAACACTATGTGTAGTTATAAATAATTTTGAAGGAGAGATAAAGTGCTATAATAGCACAACAAATTTATGGTGATTATGACAATTGATAGAAACATGGGAAATAGATGCGCATGTAGTTGAAAAGATTCAAGGCAATGGCATAGCAAATCTGTAGCAATTGCAACAAGCAACAGGAACATGAGAAGGAAACACACATACACTTGATCGACTTGGTGTATGCTATAATCATTTTCTATATGATCAAAACCAACTTCATGCTCCAAACATGAAACAATCACGTTTGATTCATAAAAGCATAGTTTATTTTCATATTTGCCTTTTCTGTAATAAGATAAAATATTTCTTTCTCTTAGTGGTAGAAGAAAACCATGCTATTATAATCAAAGGGATTCTGTAAAATGTATGTCTAAATCTATTACTGTGGCAAAAAAGAAAATAGTGTCGAATTATTACACCTGGACAAGCCTGATTGTGCCACCAGATTAATAACAAAAGAAAAGTATGCTATTACTATAGCAAAAAAGAAAAGAGTATCGAATTATTATATACAAGCCTGATTGTGCCACAGATCTATTTGCTAAAACTATTCCTCTCTTGGCAAAAAAAGGTATGATATTATATTCGGAATTGTAGTATGCATGACTCATTTCTGTTATTGTAGTAAAAGAGTAACTGGTATTAATAAAAATATAAAGCAGTGTGTTTTTTGCAATATTTAAAATCTCTAACTAAATATTCTAAATATCTGACTTTTGGCAAAGCGTGAACTGACAAAACGGGCTGTTATTTGTTAAAAAAGTTGGGTGGTAAAATAAAGTATTAGAAGGTAGTTGTTATGAAAGCAATTGGAATACTGTATATTACAAGGATTAGTGTACTCTAACTTTGAGCGAAGATTCTCATTGAACTAAAAAAAATTAAGAATCGAGATTTTGTGGTTTAATAAAGAAATATTCGAACTATATTTTTGACTTAAGCAGCAATAATTGAAAGGTTTTACAAATTTAAAGTTATTATAGAAAAAACCCCTTACAAAGATGAAATTTATATATAAAATTGAATAATCGATATCTAAAATTGTTATATGAACAATATTTCGAACCCCTGTAAAAGGACATGTCCAGTGACTAATAATAATAATATTAAAGTAGTTCAAATTAATTTGAATTTAACTCTATTTAATTTAAATTTTATAATAATATATATTTTAATTATTTGAGAATTTTATTCAAATATTCATTTTTTATACATTACTATAGTTTAGTACAATTTAAATTAATTCAAATCTATTTGAATTTATCTATAATAATAAATATTTTAATTTATTTTCTACTATCATCGTCTGCTTATTTTAATTTAATAATAATAATATTATTAAAGTAGTTTGAATTAATTTGAATTTATTCAAATTAACTCTATTTAATTTAAATTTTATAATAATATATATTTCAATTATTTGAATTTTATTCAAAATATTCATATTTTTTATATTATAATAGTTTGGATCAATTTAATTTAATTTGAACCTATTTGAATTTATCCATAATAATAAATATTTTAATTTACTTTCTACTATTGTCATCTGCTTATTTTAATTTAATAATAATAATAATATTAAATTGGTTTGAATTAATTTGAATTTATTCAAATTAACTTTATTTAATTTAAATTTTATAATAAAAGAGTGTGGCGACATAGTAAAGTGGTTAGGTTGTCACCTCCCAAGTAACAAGCCCAGAGTTTGAATTCCATAGTGACAGAAAAATTCGAAAAAACTTCTTGTATAACAGTAACTATTTGGTGAAAGTTGAATTATAAGAATCTGTAATCTGGGTCTAACCTTCTAACGAAGGTAGTCTTATCACAGATATGAAGCATTTGTACCTTCTAATGAAAAGAGTAGCCATATTTGGTTAGGGTGCATATTAAAATCTAGAAACTCTAATTCTGGATGGAAACTTACTTGAGAAGTCCTAAATATAGTATCTATTCTAGGAAAATTCTAGAATAAAGGAATACAAACCAGTATATTGTGAATAGCATAGTTGGTGTAAATACAAAATAAATCTATATAAGGGCAAATGCACCTGTATCTATAAAATGGGATAGATACTTGACTAATAAACTTCGTATATAGT